ATAAGCATATTTTATTGGATAAAATATTGTAAAGGTCATGTTATTTGTAATACCTCAAGAGGTATAAAAAGGCTTGGCTTTAGACCAGCATAACGGAATTTCTAAATGTCGATCATTTTCCAAAAATTGTTACACGGTTATTTATATTATTTTATAATAGTCGTCCTATTAAAAATAGGTCCGTCATATGACAAGTCACAGATTTGTATATCAAAAAAAAAAATTTTTTTATAGGCACGTAATTTTCAAGCTTTTTTATCATATCCCATACCCTGATCAAACCTGATCAAAGGTTTTCCCATGGCAGTATTATAAGTAAAGTTCACAATAATAGGAGGTTTAAAATGTTGTAATAACATGTACAAAATTTAAAATATGAAATATAAAAGAGTCAATGGACTTAACAGTATAAAAGGAACAAGAAACCTAATAATATTGCAGATAAGTTAAAATAAAATATTATCATTATGTATTTACAAATTCAATTTTTATGAAAAAATTTAAGAATTGAACTTAATAGTTACTTTTTTTTGGATATATTTTAGAAATTTAAAATAGTATTATCAAAGATAACACCTAATAATATTGCATATAAGTTAATGATTAGAATTGAATTTTATATATATTAAGTTAAATAAATAAATTCTGGCCAATAAACTCAATTAAATTTGTCGATCATTATTGACCAATCACAGAGAAATTCCATTATGCTCTTTAGACCAAGTTAAAGGGGAGATCGTGTTAATAACATTAATAATAATTGAATAAATAATTTTTTTTTCTTCCCCCCTCCCTGTTGTTAATAATTAAATAAACACATTTTACCTTATTACGAATTTTTGCATAGTTAATAGGAAAAGCCATTGTGAATTGTTCCATGGTCCTCTCTGATGATTAGTGGCTGGCCACTAATCATTAGTTAGAAACCCCCATTTGATTGTTCTATGCTGCTTGTAGGGACGCCTCAAGTGGTATAGTTGTAAATATTTCTTGTATATATTCTTTTTATTTTATTTATCATTTTTAGGCCAGCAGTACTTCATATTAGTACTGTAAAGAGAGATTGCGCAATAGAGTTTTGAGTAGGCTCTGAGCTGTGTGCTGATACAGGGAGATTAATATATTGGACTTTTATTTATTTTATTTTATCTTATATTTTATTGGACACAACCCGAGCTGTAATTGAATTTACACGCTCACAACATTCACATGAAAATATGATACATAAGATTTGTGAAACCACTGGAATAGATTTAGACCTAAAACATATTACAAATCATTCAATAAGATGCACAACTGTACAACACCTAACACAGCTAAATGTAATGAATGAAAAGATTATGTCAATTACTGTCATAGGTCAACAAGTGGTATTGCTGCTTATCAAACATTCACTAAGCAAATTATGCATGAAACTATAAATAAAATGATTCCTGATAAATGTGATGATTTCAATTCCAATCCTGGTTCAAGTAAGTATCAAAGATGTAAATAATATAAATATTACTGTATTATTTGAGCTAATTGATTTATTTCTATAGATGCATCATCATCATCACCAATATCAACACCATTATCAGATAAGACAAATTTAAATCATGATGAACAATCTTGTTTGCTGAAAATTTCTATAAAAAATTGTAGTAACATTCAAATAAATTTTCAAATCACACCAAAAGATTAATTTTCTAATATTTATAGTCATCATGTTATTAAATTTATTATAATTATGGCTTCTATTAATATTGTATTAGAAAAAAAATAATAAATATAAATAATAAATGTATCTGTGAAAATGAAATCTATGTGAATTTGCAATTCACATATGTGAAATTCAAATTAGCCAATCAGAATTTCATATCCAAACACCCACCCCAAAATTTTAATTATAAATTTCAATTTCACATAGTTTCAATATTAATATATATAAATAGTGTAAATTTCTGGAGTGATAACTAATTAAATTTGCGGGATGTTAACTAATTAAATTTCTGGTATGTTATTGATAACCACAAGGATCTACATCATGCGTCATTATAGAAGTGTGGGATAATATTCAATTATTACAATACATATATATATAATTTAATTTCTAAAAAAAAATTTTTAAAAAAAAGGTGATTGATAACAAACAAAATTGTTTATGTGTATTATGTGGATCAGATTTAATAGGAAATCTTACTGACAAATGGTTTTTGGTATTGATTTGAGAGTTAATTGTTATTTTCTTTTTTTAATCAAGAGAATTGCTTTGAAAGTAAGTCACTTATGTATTTTGATTAATTACAGAATTAGAGAACATTATTTCTTGATTTTTTAATGATGCATTTAAAAAACAAGAAGGATTTTTAAACAACAATAGATATACTCAGGGTGTAATTATAAAGTGATGTATACAATTTAAAAAACATATTTAAAATATATTTCTTTTATATTTATATACAGTGTGTTTCAAAAAAAACCAGAAAAATTAAATCAATCATCGTGGAACAACCATTGCATTTTGATTTGTATGAAAAATGGTCCATTCGATAGATTAAAAGCAGAACTTTTTATTAACTATACTTTATTACAAAATGCTTTCACTATTAGTTTTAATGAATAAACCAACACCTTGATTTTTTGATCAAATTAAACTAATTAGAAACAAATCAGGAATTAGATTTCGTTTTTTTAATAATGAATTGTCCCAGACCTTGAAAATTTTGACTTTTATTCCATTATTTGATAAATGGTTGCTAAATATTTTGAAGAAATAAAGAAAAAACCAGTAGATAAATTGTATTAAATCACGCGATTTAAACTGTGAATCAACAATCAACTCTTCTATGAGCCAAATCACCTATTTATTCAACTTATTAATATTGAAATAGATATTTGTGAATGAAATGCTCATAATATGATGTGTTTGTCAGGTAGATGTATCCCTTTTATTATAATAATATAATTGGAAAAAAAACAGTAAAATTCAATCCTATTTGCGCATTTTAAAAGCTAATTACTCAAAAACTAAACATCAGATTCAGTTAGAAAATGATTTAAAATAACTTTAAAAGGCAAAGCTTTGTTTAAATTTTATTTGAAACAAGTTGGGTTGTTTTTTAGTGAAAGTTACAATAATTTTCCGTTTTTTTTTGAAACTAAGGTTGTGGGTGAAACCTTCTTAGTAATTGCTGAAACCGCAGTAAAACTATATTAAATCTTATCAAAAATCCTGTTGAAACTATGCTGAAATGGCAAAACCTCAAAATGCGAAACTCTGCCAAAACTCTAATAAACAATTAATGTGTAACCTGCCGAAACCCTGCCGATTGATTTCTGGAGGAGTTTCAGCAAGCAACCTTATTTGAAACACACTGTATATTTATATTTATATTATATATTTACATATTTACATTTTTTTTTATTTTTATTTTCAAAATTCATATATTCATTCATATTCATGTCACCAATATATTTATTTATAGGAAATGTCAGATATATATATATATAATGGATGACAATTCATGATCAAGGTAAAATGTTGGTTTGATGAAGTCAATGAAAAGTTGAAAAGTAAATAATATATTAGACTATATAACAAAAAACCAAGCCTATGCATTAAAAATATTCAATAAAGAAATACTATATTAATTTTTTTATTTATTATAAACATTTTATTTTTATCAATTTGAAACCAAATTTCCTTCCCTCCATCCGATATTAAGTTTTCAAATTTGCACAATGATCTTCAAGCCAATAAAATTTAATTTTTGCTTGATATCTGGAGCAGTATATAAAATTTGCCGATCAATTTTTGTGCATGTTGTACAAATTTTTTTGAGGAATTGTGCAAAAGTTGTTTAAAAATTGTGCATGTATGCACAAAAAATTGTAAGTAGTTTAGTTTTTTTGATTTTTTTGTGCATTATACATAGAAAGATGTAATAATGCAAAAATTTCTCATCGAATTTGTGCACTATATTTAAAATTTTTGTTGAGAGTCTGCACAAAAATATTTATCTCATTGTGCACAGTTTAAGGGGGTTGTACACTGTGCACACTGTGCACGTGAATTTTATACACTGATCTGGAGGGGAGATCGTTAGAGATTGGATCCGGTTTGGCCCAAACTGGTTTGAACCCGTAAACCAGTTTGAAAACGGATAACCGGTTCTTAAAAAAAAAAGATGGTTGAATCTGGTTTGAATCCGGTTTCTATTAAATATTAATATGTAATTCAAAAAAAAAATATTTTAATAAAAAAACGATTTCAAAATGTCTGATAATAATGATGATGATGATACTAATAGTATTAATAGTAATAATAATGAAGTGATTTATGTTGGGAGTAAGTATAATTAATGAATGGCCTTTTAACAATAATTCATACATGTTATGTTAATAATATTCATTCTTTGCTAGAGATAATGCAGATTCATCTTCAAATATATCTAGAATAAATAAAAAGAAAAGAAAAATTATAGTTTTACTAATGATTACACAGTGAGTCTCGGTATAGTGGATAATTTGGGCAATTAGAACAAAAATTTCAAAAATCCATTATACTGAGATTAATTCAAGATTTAATTAGTAAATCCGTTAAACTGAGAGAATTTACTTATAGATGGTTCTGAGCTTTGATCCATTAAACTGAGAGTTTTATTAGACATCTGCTATACCAAGGTCCACTATACCGAGATTTACTGTGAATTTTGAAAAAGCTTTTGATCCTACAACTGGTGAAGAATTGTGCATTTGTAACATTTTGGATAAAAATGGGAGGTGTTGTAAAAAAACGTATAAAAGTTTTGGATATTCTACTGGAAACTTGAAAAGACATTTAGATGAAGTGCATGGTATCAACGAAGTAGAAATAGTTGGTGAAAGAAAAAAGGTAAGAATATAGGTCATCTCATATTTAATATTTTTAATTAAATTAATAGTTTTGATTAAATTAATATTTGATTAATTTGATTAATTAAATTAATATTATTAAATTAATATTTTGATTAATTTGATTAAATTAATATTTTTGATTAAATTAATATTTTTAATCTTTTAATTAAAATATATTATCTTTTTTAACATTTAGTCACAAAGAAAAATAACTGATTATTCACAAGTAACTCATAACCATCCTCCATATATTCAGAAAAAAAAAGAAGAGGCACTGCTTAAATGGATATTGAAAACCAACCAACCTTTGTCTATTGTTACTAATGAAGCATATATAGAAAAAATGAAAGTTTTTGATCCAGCATTTTCTGTACCAGGTGCAAAAAAATTAAGAACTATGATTGGAAACAGTTACAGTTTTAACAAAGAAGCATTGCGTGAAATTTTTCAACAAAGAATTGATTATATCTCATTAACTACAGACTTCTGGACCAGTAGAGCCAAGCATGGATACCTTAGTATTACTGCTTCTTTTATTGCAACAGCCTTTAGTGTAGTTGACATCATGTTAGATATTAAATATGTTCCTGCACCTCATACTGCAGTTGTAATTGCTGATTCTCTTTATGAAAGTATTTTAGACTGGAATTTGTTAGGTAGAATTGTATCTATAGTGACTGATAGTGGTGCCAATATGATTGCATCCATTCAATTACTTAACCAAAAACCTGGTTGTTATGCCATCAAACGTTTACCATGTGTATCACACACATTACAATTAGCAATTGGAAAAGGTTTAATGATTGCTGAGGTATTGGTTGCTCATGTAAGAAGGATAATTAATTTTTTTCAACACAAAAACAAGTAGAGAGATTAAAAAATGTACAAAAACATTTAGGTTATACAGAAGCCTTGCAATTGGTACAAGATGTTTCCACTAGGTGGAACTCCTCATATTATGCATTTGATGGTTTTTTCTTTTTAAAAGATGCAATTATTCAACTTCAAACTGATTTATGTACATCAACAAATAGAGAAGAAAAAAAAGATGGAAATAAGCTTAGAAAAATAATGCTATCAGATGAGGAATGGGATTTAGTTGATGAATTAATAACTTTATTAATGCCTTTTGAGCAAGCCACATGTGAATTTTCAGGTGGTTCTTATGTTACTTTAAGTAAAATGGTGCCAAAAATAAAGGAATTAATATTCAATTTAGGAGATTTTTATGAAGCATCATTATTGGGTGAAACTACAACCAGTTAATTCAATGATCTTTATCCAACAAGAATTTTACCAATAAGGGCTGGAGGGGGATTTGGGGGAAACTGGAATAATCCACCACCAATTAACAATAATCCACCACCAATTAATGAAACAAACTCAATCCCAGACATTGATGATGATGAAGTTTTAAGCAATTATTCAAAAAAGAAAATTTAAAAAAAAATTACATATATTCTTAATGTCAAATAGTATGGCTCAATCAAGTATCCTATAAATACAATTAATTTATTGAATAAAATTAAAGAAAAATCTATGATTAATTAATCTATTATTGGAATGGCCCTAATGACCTTGGATTATTAGCAACTCTTTTGGATCCTCATTATAAAAATTTAGATTGCATTGATGATGAGCATGAAAAACAACTACTAATACAACAACTTTATATAGACTACTGTGAGATCAAAAATTCCATCTCACACAAATCTATTGATTTGGTTATAATATTATTTATCCCTTCCTATGGCAGTATCCAGTTGTGTAATTCTTTG